CCAACTACAAGTCTGGAATTCAGAAGCAGAAATAGATATTGATGAAGAGCTAGCAGTTTTTAACACTGTACTATTCTGTATATAGATTCAGGCTGTTAGAATATGTTAGATTTAGGAGCACAGGAAAAGGAAGGTGTTTAAAGTTAAGAAATAAGAACCAGAGCCAGACCTGCAACAGGCAAGGAATATGCTCTTTATTCAGGAGAACACAGCAAAGGGCTGGTGCTGTCTGCAAAAACCAGGCATCAGCAGCCGAAAGGCAGAGCAATCTGGACTTAGATAGGAAATCTGCTAAATGAACCTGCAGGAATTTGCTAGGTGCCAGTGTTCTTGGGGTAACTGAGGATCTTCTTCTTGAGCTGATTTCCTCAGGATGAGCAGGTAGCACTGCAGGAATTGAGTTGACTCTGTAAACAGTCTCTGTCGCCAGGGAAGTAACTACTTGATAAGACTAAAGGCCAAGCTACCAATCTGGACCATTTGATCACTTTGAGGAATTTATGACATATGGCTTCCTTTAAGGAATCTCATGGCTCTCATGCAATTTACACATTCTATCACTCTTTGAAAATTAATAATTTTTCTTTATTGTTGAGAATTTCATACACGAATGAAATATGATCACATTCATCCCATTTTCCTCTCTCCAATTACTCCCAAGTCCTTCTAACAAAGCCACCATTCATGTCTTTTTTTTTTTTGCTAGACCACCAAGTCCAAATAATGCTGCCCACACATGCATGGGTAAATTCCCTGGGGCATTAGAAATATACTAGTGATCACACATTCAGAAAAATGTTTCTCCCTCCCCAGCAGCTATCAACTGCCAATAGCTCATCAGTAAAGGGGGGGCCCGGAGAGCACCTCCCCCATCTATGCTGAAATTTTGGCTGGATTAATCTTGTGTTAGTCCAGTGCTGCTATGAGTTGATGATTCTGATAGTCATGTCACGTCCAGAAGACTATATCTCACAGCACTCCTCCCCATCCTCTGGCTCTTGCATTCTTTCTATTTCCTCTTCCCTGAGCCTTGGTGGTGGGGTTGATAAGTACATCCTGTTTAGGGCTAGGTAGAGGGGACAATGTTTCCTGGTCAGTTTGAGAGTCATTTCTCTAAGCAGCCAGTGTATGGTGTTAGGGTCTTACCATGTAGCTATGGGGGATAGCCAAGATTTTGGAAGATCTGAAGATCTCTGACCAGTAACTCATAGGGTGGTACCCCATGTCTTGTTCTATGATTTTCAGTTGGGAATGGCATTGTTCACCCACCACCCATGTAGGTTAACTCTATTTGAGCTTTTCTTTAAAAAAATTTTCTATTTTGAAGTCAGCTTACTATTAGGTTTCCATAAGGTTTTTTTCATGCATCCTTAATTTTGGCTAACCTACCTTCCTCTCCCTTCTAACTATATTTTAAACTGGGTTGAAAGATAGTAGTAGGCTTCTGTATGACTTTCCTATCCCCTTCCTTTGGGTTAGCCCTCCATTTCCTCCATTTGCCCAAGCCGCTCCTTGCTTAACCCTTTCTACCCCACAGTATCCAACCTCTCTACTTTTGTTTCATCTATATTGATCTATCCCCTTTCATTTAATGTGGCCCCTGAAAGGCCCCTCAATCCACAGCCAAGGCTTGGAAGCAGGGAATCCTGTTTTCCTTCTCTTCACTGTTGTGAATACTGTCTACCTGGGGGAAGGAGGGTGTCCCATGCAACAGGTAGCAACGAGGACCAGGAGACAGAACTAAAAAGTTTTATGTTCATTTTATTTGAAAGTTTCTGGGAACTAAGTCCAATTTCATTTCCATAGAGAAAAGGTGAAAATGGTGATCTCAATACCCTGTTAATGGAGATTTCCAAGATAGAAATATCTTCAAACACCTCCAGTTGTACTATGAGCACTTGGTTTTAACAGCAGGGCACATCAGCTAAGTTCCAGGGAGGAATGGAAGTTAATTGTGGAACCACAGTGACCTACACAGTGAATATGCTAAAGACAGTGAGAGCAGTCATGGAGAACCATCAGCTCATTAATTCTCCAACATCTATAACCAAAGCCATCTCAGTTGAAACTCTAGCTCCATTAGGTAAGAAAAAGATAAGAAAGAACAACTTTCAAAAGCATAGACATGTAGCTGGAACATGAAGCAATACAAAGGGAACTTCCTTGAGCCTGGAACTGGGTTAGTGTCATGAAGTTAAACACAGCTGGCTGAAAGACGATGAACAGAAGCTGGAAACTGAGCCAATGAAAGAGCATCTTTTAAAGAGTAAACTGGGTTCAACATCTTTCATTATGGTTTTTTTTTTATTTTTTTTGGTATTGAGGATTTAAAAAAAAAAGATGCAGGTTATTTTTTTGTTGTTGTTTTTTGTATGTTTCTTTAAAAATGTCAGTGGAATTTTCCTGGAAGGATCTGATTGCATTATATTACTTTCACAAACTTGCATTAATAAAAGGTGAAAGTGTAACTATTTAGAATATTTTATGAAGCTTGTTGAGCTTTGTAGATGAGGACTAACACTGTGTTGATTTATATGATCTTATTCTAGTGGCTGTGATAATTTTTAAAAGGAGTACATGTACTTGTATAAAAGTACAGCTTTAACAACCTGAAACCCCTTTCAAACTTTCATCCCAGTAGAGCCAAATACTATGCCTGTGATTATTTCCTCGCATGACCCATGGCAATAGGCTTCTCATCTTGAAGTATTCACTTCGTTTTGCTTGGTACCTAAAGCTTCAGAGAAATGTGAAGGCTGACACTTGAACTTCCCTCCTTTTTTCCAACAGTGAGCTGTTTCCTTGAATGAACTGTTTATAACATAAAGGAAAAGCACTAGCCTCAGAATTAGGTCCGCTCAGGGTACAGCACTTTCCTAACATATTCAAATCCAGGGGTTTGATCCTCAGTGCCACAAACAATAGAATAAGACAACAAACAGTAGAGTGGAAACTGATGGAAAGCCTACCTGAAGGTCCACACTGCCACTGAGGCCACATTTCCTTCACTAGCTAGAAGGAGAAGAGAAGCAACTTCTAGAAAAATGGGAGTGAAGAGGTAGAGATTTATTTGTAAGGCTGACCATCTATTACTACTGAAAAACTTAAGTTCAGTCTGTCTGGAGGAATATTCTATACTGTAAGGCACTGCCCTTGGAAACAAGATCTTCACAAGCAAAATGAATTCAGGTCCAGCGATTTCAAAGAACATTATAGAGACAAAAGGTGGGTGAATGGGAGTAGCAACCACCTCCAAGGTCTGAGGTACCAGCTCTCAGACTACTCTCAGAGACAACAAATAATGGGGGCTCATGGGAAGCCTTACTCCTCATCTGCCTCCCTCTCAGATGGGATGTCAAAATGCCCACTTCCAGTAGTTTTCCTTTCCTGAGGGAACAGGATTGTGGCAGTCCCATGAGAGGGTCACTGGGGCCTGATATCTAGTTTGCTCTGAGCTATTTGTCCTGGTATGAATTGCACCTGTTCAAAGGACCATTTAATTTTTGTCCATTAAGCCTTTTGCCCAGAGTTGAGTCTGGAAAGGGATCTTTTCTAATCTGTATGCTCATGATAGCCTTGCTGCAGAATACAATGGTGGGAGAAGAGGTTCCACTGTGCAGGAACATTTTCCTCTTCATGCTGATTCCACACCCATCTGAGTTGCTCCGAGCACATTAACTTTTTTTCATAATTTGCCTACTGACTTGTCCTTACTCCTGTTCAGCTTCTGGGGAGTAAGAACATAAAGGACATCCCAGCGGCTCATTTGTCTTCTTGCTGCTTTTCAGTTTATGGATGAGGTGGTACTCATCCCTCTGTTTACCACTGCTGATGTTTTGCTGATCCTTCTTCCTTTGCATTTCGTTCATATTTTTAGTTTCTGAGGCAAGGGCTTTAACAACCTGGCTGCATACTACAGTGCTCCTTCCAACCTCTCCTTAACTTCAGTGGGTGTCTCTGTGCTGCTCTAACTGTTCTCACATTGTGTTGACTCTTGCCCTTGTATACAGCATCTATTTAATATGCGTGCTCACAAGGGCTTGACAGCATGTCTGAATATATTCTTTTAGATGTGAGGTGAAAAGTTAAATGTATTCAGGCGTTCAACAAATGCTTACTGGTACCCATAAGGCACTGCAAGCTTACTGAAGATGACACTAAGATGATCTCACATTTTGATTTTTAAAGGCTGAAATATGACCTTTTAGTCTTAAATAAAATGGTAGGAAATCTGGAAAACTGCTGAATGCATATCAAATCCAACTACATTTCCAGAGCCTCATTGTTAGAAGCAGTTTCCAAAAGACATTGCTTGTACAATAAACTTAAACAGTGAATCTGCCACTTCAACAGAAGCAGCTTTAAATCACATTTAAATCTTGTCATGCTGGAATAAATGTGCTAATATTTTCAGCGAGTCTCTGGTGCAGCTGTTAAAACATGTGGGCTTCTGAAGGTCAAATGGGACTTCTAAGTTTCATGACTTCTGTGTTCTAATTCTCATGTTGTTGGGAGCCAGAGGCTCAGCCATTTCTCAAAACTGCTGACAGACCTGAGTTGGTGACTTTCCATTCTGTCCACCCTCCCACCACGGGCATGGGAAAGAGCCCACAACCTTGGCTTATAGCCGGGGCTGGTAGCCCACGGCCTTGCTCTAGTTATTGTAAATAGCCCTGTTTTCTGTTGATCAGTAGACTCTCACAGGCACGGGATGGAGCCCACTGCCTTCGCCTGCGGTCTTGTTTTCTTTTCCAGTAACTGCTTTGCTCTCAGTGGACTCCTCCCTTGGAGTGTACCTGGGTCTTTGCTATCTGGCTGATATGATTCAGTCCAGTCTGTTACTCCTTATTTAACTGTATGCTTGTGCTTCAATAAGCGAGACTTGATCAGAGCACTGTCTTGTCTCCATTTCTCTTGCCCCTTGCCTCATCCACATCCCCACTCCCCAATCCAGGTACCCCGTTTTTTTGGTTTTCTAATTAGAAAGCAGACATTGCTTCTGAGTAGGTGAGCATCAAGGTTTATTGATCATCCCAAAATATCTTGCAAAACAATAAACTCTGCATTTCCTAATGCAGGAAGCTGGTACATGTGTTACTCACTTTGAATGCTTTCAAGTAGCAGAAGGAAATGTTAACATTTTGCATATGTAACAGTGAGGCAGGACGCTAACTGCTCACTCAGGAAACAGATTTGCAAATGATGTCTGATTTCAACCAAGACAGCAGTTTTCCTGCAACTTTGCTCAGCTAATCAAAAACAGTTTTAATTCTTAAGAATATAAGTATTTATTTCCCTCTGAATTTCAAAAGTATTAAATGTTTCCAGGGCTTTTTTCCTTCTCTCTCTAATCTCGTTTCCTACCCATGAACTCTCAGGCTTACTCTCCCTCCACAGCTTCACAATTTGCTTTATCTGGCCTGTTTTATGACTGGCTTCATCACTCAGGATCATTTTCTCATAACATCTCTTCATATACTGAGTCAAATAATTTATGTCTCCTCTTTGTCATATTCCTGTCCTTAAGCTAATTTATAAGGTCAGATTTATACTTTTCTGTTTTGTCAGCTAATGCACATGCCGTTTCTCATGCAGGATTTAGGAACTTAGAGCTGGACTGAGTTGACATCCTGTGGGTTCACACACTGTTTATTTGATATCAATTGACTTGTTGCATAGAAGAATCACCTGTCCTTTCTTAATCTTTCAAGACACTAACATTGGGCTACATACTTTACATGACAAGTCTGATTACTTAGGTGAAAATTCTGTAATACTGGACAGAAAAATGATGCTCTGTGGGATCTTTTGGGATCAAACAAATGAGCTGTGATATGTTGTAGGGAGGCAACCCATTCATAAGATTTAAATGTTCAATCCACTTTCCATTTTTATTACTATACTTAGGTAAATCTGGCAGCCAATTCCATGTCCAAATCAATTAAATGAAAACATTAGGATTATTACATTCAGTGTTGTGAACCTGAACAGAGCATCTAGATATATTCATTAGTTCACAAACAGCAGCTTATGACTTTTAATTTTGCTTCAATGAGGCTAACAATCCTAAATTTAACATACTTCTGAACATTTCCTGAATCTGATATTCAGCAGAAGCTCAAATGAAACATTTGATACATTGTATTTTAGCCCAACCTTATACTTAGAACAAATACAAAAGCACAGTCATGTTTACAAGGTAAAAATGGTCTAATAGCTTTGTATACCATAATATTATAATGTGTCTTCTGAAAATCAATGGCACTTAAAAAATGCTCACCATTCTTCCATTACATCATGATTCTCACCCATTAAGCATCACTAGTCAGCAAGTTCATTCTAATGGCAGGAAGGTCAGAATTCAGTTTAAAGAAGCAAAGACTCAGAATTTTAATGAAACATTTGATCATAAAACATGCAGTGAAGTTTTCAGCTAAAAAAATTCTATTGTTCAGTGAAGATCACAGTAGTTGGAACAATCATGAAAACTGAGGTTTCACTTGATTAAAACCACTTCTTACCATTAGAGCTGGCAACGGCATGCAAAGGTCCAATAACTCTGCAAAGAGCACGGTGAATATCTCACCAACATGATCAGTTCATCTACTGATGGCTGCCTGCATCAAGCTTCAGTACACAACACATAGCTAGAAAATGTATTTCAACTGTGCCTCCCACACCGTCCTCACTAGCTAACCAGACATGAGTCTTCATTGCTTGGCTTGACTTCTCCTTCAAGTAGTAAATTCATCACAACCTTTGTCAAATAGCTGCAGGTTCCTCTTTTTCCCAGGGGTGGAGTGTTGTAAAAGGAAGTCATATCGTCCTACAGAGGAAAACAGCAAACAAATTGTGTAAAGGGTTGACAGCTAAAATTAGTATCAGCCTAGGGGAAAAATTAATTGACAGAAAGATTTCCTCATGGAGAGCATAGCAACCTGTGCCTCTCCTCCACTTTCCTGAGGCATCCTCTGAGCAAATAAAACAAAGACAGACATTTTTAGTAGTCTTCTCTTTGCTGGTAATTTTTATTCACTTAGGGAATTCTTTCATAGATAAGCATAAAATATTAAGCAGAGAGCCTAGAAGGGACTACAGCAGACACGGTGCGGCACCAGAGACACCTCCTGCACTCCTGTCTTCCTCAGTTTATTTTACAGCCTTCTGGAATCATGGATCCTCCCTAGGAAAACAAATTTTAAAAGCCAACCATATAAAGAAAATTTATTTCATCTTAGATTTCATTTTTTCTTTTTTTCCTCAGAACTTCAAAGCTCAGTTGACTAGTAATTAGCTAAAAAAGGAACAACAATTTCTCAAGTAAGTCAGACTGCCTTTCAAGTATTCTGTGTTGCACTCTGTAAATCTGTTTGGTACATTAAATGATAAGAAGATTAGATACCTTTAAAAGTTGAGACAACGAAAAAACTCTACAGAAAGCTGCTTTTTCTACTTACTTGTTTTTCAATTTCTTTTAGCCGACTCTGATCTTTTTGAAATTCATGAAATGCTTCTTTGACCAGTCTGTCCAGGTCAACTTTGTCTTGAAATTCTAGTTCAGGGTTTCTCTCCAGCACAATGGACACAACCATTAGTAACTAGAAGAGACACATATTGAAAGCCAAATGATATGAACCATAATAGCAACATAGTTTGGACAGGTTTTCACAAGAAACATATATGGATGGAATCCTAATTTTGGAAATGTGAAGGATAAGTTCTATTTGGAAAAGGCACATTTAACGTGGTATCCCTGTAGTCAAACAGAAATCTTTTATATTTAAACAAAACATAGAAAAACGACTTTCTGGGGCTGGAGAGCTATCTCAGTTGGTCACAAGGATCTGAGTTTGATTCCCAGAACCCATTTTTTTTTTTTTAAGCCAGGTGTGGTGGCACACACTTGTATTCCCAGTGCTGGAGTGCAGAGATAGAAAGATCCCTAGGGCTTTGAAGGCTAGCCTACTTAGTACCAGGTCAGTGAAAGACCCTGTGCCAAACAAAGTGGGGGGATGACAGTGCTTGAGGAACAACACCTGAAGGTGTTTTGTGGCTTCCACATGCACCTATGTGCACCTGCACACACAGAAACACACACAAAATGATTTTCCTAACCCTGCATTGCTAGCACATGGTATTCTAATCATCAAAAGCTTTTGAGCATTTTTGGGGTTTTTGGGCTTCAACCTTTTTTGACAAGGTATCCTGTCAAGATGATTTGGTAGGTAAAAGCACTTGCATTGCAAGCTTGATGATGAGTCCAAGCCCTAGAACCCATAGGAGAGAAGTGATTCTTAAAAGTTGCCCTATGACTTCCATACATGCACTGTGGCAAATGTGTGCTCCTCCACCCCAAAATAATAATAATAATAATAATAATAATAATAATAATAATAATATTTTTAAAAAATCAAGTGTTCAACAGGCAAGGCTGTCATCAGGCAAAAAAATACAAAAGGAGTAGTGTTAGGATGAGACGATGTGGAGCCCATCACTTCAGACTGTCAATGATGCAATAGCAATTTCCTAAAGGTCAGCTATGGTTTATAAAAATATACTTAACTTTGACATTTCTAGGATACAAGTACTATTTGGTCTGTGTGAACTAACTTGGTTTAAGGCATCAACTTACTTTATCCCCAGAAGTAATGCTCATTTTAAGATTTTATTTTTAATTGTGTGTGTGTGTGTGTGTGTGTGTGTGTGCATCTGTTCATGGGTGCAGCACCTTTGGGAAAAAAAAAGACGGCATCCAATTCCCTGGAGCTAGAGTTACAGGTGGCTGTGAGCTGCCAGACAAGGGTGCTGGATCCTGTGCCAAGAGCAAATGCTCTTAGCCATTTAGCCACTTCTCTAGGCCCTGTGATACTCACTTTAGACAACAAACTTCCATGTGAAGACTGTGGTTATGTAAGCAATGATTAGCAAAGGCCTTCTGATGAAGTGTATGCTTTGTACATTGACCAGGAAATAGGCTTCTTAGTTGTCAATTTCAGAATCTTACTGAACTGAGTGCATCTTATTTAAATGGTACAAAACAGAACTTGAAGGAACCATAAGAAACACTTTCATAATGTGGCAGACCCATGGGGCAGGCTTTGGTCAGGAGAGTAGGAACTTTTGCTGCAGTTCTAAAGAAAACCGTCTTCAGCAAGGGGAATGGCACCATTACGAAAACATTCTAAGTCCAGTATATGCCCTAGGCACTGGGTATTGGACATGAAAGGCTAAGGATCTGAACAAGAAAGGCATTCACACTTTCAATAGCCCTGTCTTGGCCTTTGTCTCTGTTTCACTCCTGCTTGCTATGCCACTGGATTATAATATTCTACATCCTGTGACATCAGAGATGCCATTCAGCTTTGCAGGCCTTGAAATGCTGGATTGGGCAGGAGTCACATCTGCTTTAATAATCACTGATAGCTTCTATGTCATGACATTACTTACTTTTAAGATATAACATCTAATGGGGACAGTGACAGAGAAAGAAACAAAGTGAGGATACCCCACACACTAAATTCGTCATTCCACGCCCTCACTGCTTTGGGGCCATATTTTAAGATGACAGAAGGAAGTGTGTGCACTTGTGTGTGATGACAGAAGGAAGTGTGTGCACTTGTGTATACAGGCCTGTATACTTCAGCGCTCCACACACTATCTTCTCTTCACAGGTTCCTGTCTGGAAATATGATTTCAAAAGACTAGCAGCAATGATCTCTTTCTTGTGGATACAGGAGAAAGGTTTGTTTTCTTTATTGTAATTCTCTGAAATGCTGACACATTCTATAATAGTGGTGTGTTATTTTTATAATTAGGAAAAAATGAAACCCCTAACAGAGATGATCTCTCCCTCTACTTTCATGGCACTGCTGATACACTGGTTGTTGAGGGGTGAGTGTGAGGTTAGGTGGCTGGTCTGTCATTCTTTTCTAACTGAAGTTTACAGTGTTTGAAGTTTATGTGTGCTTTGACTTGGGTCAAGGATGGCTATCTTCTTGATGATGCCACTGTTAGGACTGACCGGTGATAGACAGACTTCTTGGTCCCTGGGGTCAGATTGCCTATACTACTTTTCAGGGAGCAGACAGAAAGCCAGTCTTCAGTGATCGACATTTTTAATACACACCTCTACAACAATCTGTCTGTACTTTGGCTGGTCAATATTTCCCAACATGTCTTCAACAAGGAGAGAAAAATTCATCTCATACATGGTCATATCTGATAAGGTTGGTTGCTGAAAAAAAAATTCAACATTAACATACTGAATGTTACCCTCTGTGTCTCATTTAGTAGACGAGTTTAATTTTCTAATCAATAATCTTTTTTTTTTTTAGTTTCATAAAACCATAGAGAGTATTTTCACCTCTATGACTGGATTTTATATATGTCAAACTACTGAAGCTAGCCAGATGATATTTGTGGTAGATTAAGCCTCCCGTATTTAGTACTTATCTTCACTGTATTAATACTTTTATGGGAAAAGAACTATATTAAAAATCCACTTTTATGCATAAAAGAAACAGCCCCAAATTGAGACAGCAAATAGAGTGCTTATTGCTTTCAGAATTGACATGAGAAGTTATGCTTACTGTCAGACTTTAGAATGTAAGCCACTGCTATTGAGGCTATATCATTTTCTGTTGTGGGTCCTTTCTGGGCCACCAGCAGAAAAATGCATACAATAAGCAAATACATTATTTGCAGAAATGCTAGGATATAGGAAGGAAAAAAAAACAAGCAAAACTAAAAGAATCTTCTCTACTCTGCCTTCTGCCTTTCATTTAAAACAACTGTTGTAAGTCCTCTATTCACTGTGCATGCACCAAATGAAAAGTAAATCTAAACAGATCCAAGTCAGGGCATGGTAGGGGTGGCAGTCAGTGTTAATGTTGATGGGCAACTTGATTGCATTAAGAAACATTAAGGGCATTAATGAGGCATATCTTTGGGTGTGTCCGTGAGGATGTTTCCAGAAAGATTTAAGTGAGGAAGGAAACAATAATGAGAGTGAAGAGACAGCCTATAGAGTAGGAATAAAAACCTTTGCCAAGTTCACATCAGACAGGCAAGTAATACATAAGCTATATATAGAACTTCAAAAATTAACAAAAACCCAAACTATCAAATCAACAAATGGGCTAATGAACTGAAAAGACAGTTCTTAGGAAAAGAAATACAAGTGGCCAATACTTGAAAAAGTGTTCAGTTTCATTAGCTATCAAGGAAATGCAAATTAAAACTGCTTTGAGATTTCATCTCACCCCAGGCAAAATGGCTATGGGCAAAATAAATGACAAACGCAGGCAGGGATGTGGGGAAAGAAAAACCTTTTCATTGTTGGTGGGAATGTAAATCACTATTGAAATCAATATGAAGTTCCTCAAAAAACTGAAACTACCATATGGCCCAGCTATAACACTCTTGAGCATATATGCAAAGGACTGTCATACCACAGAGATATCCGCATATCAGTGTTTACTGCTATACTCTTTAGCAGCAGCCAGGGAATGAACCAGCCTAGATGTTCATCAACAGATGAATGGATAAAGAAAATGTGGTACATATGCACAATGGAATTTTAGGCAGCTATAAGGAAACCTGAGGTCTTGACAGATGCAGGAAAATGAATAAAACAAATACTGTATATTGTCTTTATATGTGGAACCTAGATTTAAAATTGTGTGTGTGTCTATTGTGTTGTGTGTTTGTGTACAAAAAACAGGGGATGATGAGAAGGGAGGAAGAAATCTTAAGGGATGGGGAAGTAGCGGGGAATAGAATAAGACATGTAATAAGAAAATAGAGGTGGGATAACTGGAGAAGAAAGGGAAGAGCTTGAGAGGATAATGGGGTACAGGGAAAGGCAGAGGGGGGAAAAACAGAACAAAGTATAACGGCACATATATGAAGATATCATGATAAAACCCATTACTTTATATTTTAATCTAAAATTTAATTAAAACAAGAGAAAAAAAGACATAGAAAGTAAAATCAGGATAATTGCAGGAAAATGGATCAAACTAGAATTTATTATTTTAAGTGAAATAAGACTGACTGAGACCTCATGTAATT